ACAGGGCGCCGCAGACGAGGTAAATGAGGCCCAACTCGATGACCCCACGCAACCTCGGCATGGTCCGAGCAGTTTCGGGATTGGGGCTGACGCTCTTGGAGAGAATTCGAAGATACTCAAGCACACTAGGATACCAGGAACCGCGGCTAGTCTTCGTGGCTTCCATAGCATGGTTCGAGCTGGATCTCTGATAGCAACATCATTAGGAAGCAGGAACATCCTTACCCTAGTTTTAGGATCAGTCTCAGTGCCAGTTCAGTAGCGTTTAGGGCTCTTGTGCTGCCCTTAGCGGGGAACCTGAAGAGCTTGGAAGAGCATTCTGATTTGAGAAAGCTGGTGTGGAGTCTCATACAAGCTTTCTGCGAATGCCCCAGACTCATAGCGCACTCCAACCCAGTCCAAAACTTGTGCGAGAATCGGCATGCCCTCTTCGGCCCTAAACACACAGGGAAAGTTGCATCGACCCACAGGCCCAGAAGCGACGAAAGCAGATCTTTCAGGGGCCGACAGACCCGTGGCCGCCCCGTAGTTCTCGATGTGCTCTACGTTCCAAACCTGCATCCGAGACGGGAACCAGGAGCTGGTTTTCAAACGCTCAGAAGGGCCTCTTACACTATGCCGGACTATAGGGGTGGTCACTGGGATTTTGCGCGGGTTGCTGATCTTCCGGAGGGTCGTCCTCAACCAAGGGCAACATGGTGGATCCCCTCATGGCAGTGGCTGGGTCCCTTTTTTGTGAACGACGGCGGTGTTCGTTACGCCGTCTTGCTTTGAGGCCCTGACGCCTTACATGGTTTCAGCTTCCATCCGCTTTCGTTCTGGAAACATAGCTCTCGAGTTTTACACCTTGGGTTTAGGGCTTCGAACTACACTCCAAACCCTCCCGATTCCCAGATGCCTGCGATGCCACTGAGGCCCCAGCGACACTCTCCGCTTCACGCTCCCAGCCGGACGGTCCCGCAACCATGTTGTTGCCAAAGAACTTCCTGAGACTGCTTCGGATTTTGGGTTTAGGGTTTAGGGTTTAGGGTTTAGGTTGAAGTCTTTCTGCCGGCACTAAGATACCCTAACCAAAGTCGTGGCCTCAGAGCCCAAGCCAGGAAGAGCGAAGGGCTACAATGGAGGCTGCCGCCTTGAGCCACTGAACCCGAGGCCAGCACATGAAAGTCAAGACGCTAAAATACCCCAAACTCGGCAACCTCAAAGCCGAAACTCCAAACGCCCAGGAGCCCCCCAACGAACACAAACCGAGGCTGCAACAAATCCGAAGAAACCTCGGAGACGAGCCCGGTCTTGGCGTTGCCTCGGTGGCGATTTTGCTGGGGTGGTAAAGGGCTTTGGCCTGAGATTCTGGGGGTTTCAGATTTGGGTTTACAGATTACGGTAGATTGGGGTCGGGTGCAGCAACTGAAGCCGGAAACCCAAGCTGAGTTCAATCTACCCTTCGCCCAAAACTTCCGGGAACCCCAAGCTACTTTGCCAAGCAGAGAGCCGCATCCCGAAGCCCGGCATCCCAAGAGCCCCGAAACCCTGCAGGACACTAAGCCTCCGCATCTCCACAGAATGCCGCCTCAACGCCCGAGAGTAGGTTTTTGGCTCGACCCACTTCGGTAAAACCCATGCGCGGACTGAGACCCCCCGCCCTGCTCTATGGCCTTCTTCACCATGCTGGTCTGAGGAAGCGAGGTCGGGAAGCGCCCGTGGGGGAAGCTGTCGAGGTTTTTGAAGTTTGCCGGATCCAGAAAGACTGCTTGATAGATAACAAGAAGGATCCAGGGGCAAGAGCACTATCTGCGATGCTTTGCGGAGGTGCGCTGCTTGCTCGTGTAAATCTACTCCAATACTCGTCAGTTTGATCGTCGAGGTCAATCTGAGTCATTCTTGAGTTGTTTACTTGGCCTCTAACATCATTCAGCACTAGTGTTATGCAGCAGGGTTGCCGCTCGTTTCTTGGTACGAAACCTGCTGACGTGGACTCTTCGTTCGCTGCATGCACTTCTGCACCGCAGAGCTACGGTGATTTCCTGTCCTGAAATCCCGTCCATTTTTCTGTGGGTGTGTGCACGTAGTGCACTTACCGGATTCACGATAGGGCAAAGTTTCATGACTGGTCATCGCATTGACTTCGTAGCACCACTCTTTCGCCTTGTGCTAGAAGGTTGCCGTGAATGGGACGCATCAGTGCGACTCGCAACTTGTGGGGATCCCTGAGCTTCAACAAACAGAAACCGATTGCTGCCGGATCTGGGTCGGTATACCTGCTGCTTCTGCTGAAGCTATGGCCTGTTTTTGCACGTCTAGGCCTGGCAACATGTGTGAAAGTGTTTCCAAGGTTTTGTATCTGTTTATGCTCTTTGCTTCGTTCGTCTGGCACACTTTTGCCTCCGATATGCTCTGCTTCATCAGGTTCAAGGATGACATAGTACTAACTGCAATGAACTATAGATGCACCGATGATCTAGTGGCGGTGACGTAAGCCTAACACATTGAGATCGACTGCTGGATGTATGAATCCCCTCAGCCTACACCGACCACCAGAAAAGTGCGGCAAAATATTCCAGGGAGCACCTTATACACAACCACCTTTCTGAAGATCAGAAAGCCTTAGCCGAACGAAGCACTCAAAAACACGCCCCTGAACCTTTACACGCGACTTCCCAAACCGCCCAAGACCCCTTAACCCTAAACACCTGAACATTTAGGGAAAGGAGGGCCCCAAAAGCTAAGTTCTCCACAAGACCGGTCAAAGCTTGCTGCTCCCGCTCCTCGGTTCTCTGGAGGTCAGGGTAGATGTCGGGGCTCCGGGATTTAAGGGTCTGGCGTTTCAAGGTTTTGGGCTCAGGGTTTAGGGTTAGTATGAAACTAGCTAAAAGG